TTATTATAAAAAAGAAATACTCATTTATATATATATATAGTCTAACTTAAATTAGATAGTAGTACAATTCATTAAAGTTCTGTGTGCTGCCCTTTCTTCTCCCAAGAATGCCTTTTCTTCTCCCAAGAAACCCTAGCCTTCTTTTTTCCTTTTCAAGAAAAAAGCTCTCTCTTCTTTTTCAAGAAAAAAACTTTGAATTATTTGTTCTTTCCATGGAGCCCTTCGCCTCCTCTTTGTTCTTGTACAAGAAAAAAAATCTGCCTGCTCTCTCTCTATTCTTGTAAGTTTTGCCTCTTCATTATTCTTTTCCATGGAGCAGCCAGACCTTGTGACAACTTCGTCGTTGTCAACTTTCGCCATCCATGAAATTATCTCTTCTTCCCCATTTTTTTTCTCGGCTTTGGTCAAAGTATCCGGATCGGATTGACCGAATCCGACACGCACCCCGCACCCGCGCCTGCACCAGTGTCGCGTCGAGACGGGTTCGGCCGCAAAAATGAAGAGTCCGCGCAACATAGGCTGCCAAATATCTGGAATTTTCTTTCCTCCCCTTTTTTTCCTTTTTTGTTTCTCTGAATAGTAAAAGATAAAAAAATTATCCACTAATAACGTCATCTGCACAAGACAGGGAGGACCTAAGGGTTTATACATATGATAGTCCAAAAGATCAGTTTCCTCATTCTTAATCTTATCGCTCCTTGTATGCTCACACATTCACCTTAACATCCTCATTTTCGCGACACACATATTTTGAATACGGGAGTTCTTGACTATACAACACTCCTCCCCATACAACAAAGTCTGTCTAACCACCACTTTATAAAACTTACCTTTAAGTTTTGTTGGTTTCTTTTTATCACACAAGGCTCCGGATGCATGCCTCCACTTCATCCACGTTGCACCAATATCGTGTGTGTGATGTCATCGTCGATGTCCCCAGTTTCTGGTATTATAGACCCAGGTACTTGAAACTATCTTTCTTGGGGATAACTTGAGTGCCAACCTTCACTTCCACACTTGCCTCTTGTATTAAATCACTGAATTTGCACTCCAAATACTCTATTTTTGTCTTGCTTAACCTGAATCCTTTAGACTCGCAAGTTTGTCTCCACACCTCAACCTAGCATTTACACCGTTGCACATCTCATCAATCAGTATTATGTCATCAACAAATAGCATATAACAAAGCACCTCATTTTGAATGGACTGCATCAATTCATCCATCACCAAGGCAAATAGGCATGGGCTAAGAGCTAACCTTTGGTGCACTTCCATCTCAACTGTGAAGTGCTCAGAGTCTCCTCCCACCGTTTGCACTCGTGTCTTAGCTCCATCATATATGTCTTTTATCCCTCTAGTGTAAGTTATCGTACCCCTCTAGCCTCCGGGCATCTCTAGAGGACGTCCCTTGGGACTTTGTCGTGGGCCTTTTTAAGGTCGATGAACACCATATGTAGGTCCCTTTTCCTTTCCCGGTATCTCTCCACCAATTCCTCACAAGATGGATGGCTTTTGTAGTCGATCACCCTGGCATGAATCCAAACTGATTCTTGTAAATGGACACACTCCTCCTCACTCACAACTCCACCACTCTCTCCCAAACTTCTATAGTATGGCTTAGCAACTTGATACCCCTGTAATACTTGTCCAAATCCTTATTGTTATCCACTTCACCCAATGAAATGGTCTCACGCTTCCTGAGATTTGAGGCTTGACACTGCTTGGAGCCATGCAAAAACTTGTCTCAGTTAATTCAATAGGTAATAACTAATATCCGCATACAGAAAATTTAAAGTACTGTTTGGGAACAAGAAACCTGAAACCCTCACTATATGTTGCTTTTGTTGCAAAAAAAGTTCGTCAAGTATTAGCATGCCTCAGATTTATCCATTATTCTGCTCAACCCGGCCATTACTAAAAGAAAGCGAATATCATTGGGTTGCTCTATCTCAAGCCCCTCGAGTTGCAAAAGAACCACACAGACTGCCATTCACTAGGACTGAGAATTTGACTGTTAATATTCGAACTTGATCCACTTCTGCCGCCTATCCTCGAATCCCATCTTCAACATTATAAAGTCCGGGAACTTCTTAATATCCAGTCTGTTTCTGAAGAACTTCCTAATCATATCTGATATTATGTGCTATTGAGATCAGTAAATTCATGTTTTCTATGTGAATGTACTTTGAAATTCTAGCTCTAAACTCAATAAACAGAAGGATTAAGGGTCTGATCCTTTCATGAGACACTTGTGCTATAAACTTTTCTGTTTTCAGAGGTTTTGTCCTCAGATGTGAAGATGGCCGTTTGGCCATGAGAATTATTCACTTTTTTCCGGATAATTTTTTATTTTATTTCAAAGTCGGTGTTTGTTTTCCAACTATATCTTCATAAATTCCAAATAAAGTGCTCTCTTCTCTTACTTGCAAAAAGTATAACCAAAGAGAACTCCATCATCAACTCCAACTTCAAAAATTCCAAATAAAGTGAAACATATTTGGAATCTATGGCCAAACGCCTACTAATTTGTATGCTTTACATGTTGCTGGAAATTTATTGCTTTTAATTGAACACTGTTTGGAAGATAAGAGGACTCCTCGGTCGAAGAAGAAGCTTGCTAGATCAACACCAGAGAAACGCCAACTGGATATTAAAGCAAGAAAAAACATGCTGATCAGTGGATCGATGGAAGCATGTTTGGTTCCACGCAACCTTATGGAGGATGAATCAATGTTACACTCAATTCCTGATCTCCGAATGGAGGCTAAAAAGACAGCTGAGGTTAGTTGAAGTTTTTATATTTTGTTTACTTACAAAATGTGCATTACCTTGATTAAGTTAGAACTTTTTTTTTTCTTCGTTTCTTCTGCGACACAAAAAGCACGATCCTTCTCAAAAAATCAAAAGCATGATGTTTTATGTGGTTGAGTTATGATGATTCTGATCCTTAAGATTCTTCATTTCTTTAGCACTTAATGCTGGATCCTGTTATGCTTCTTGTAAATGTTTTTCTTTTATTTTCTGTGATATTGGCATAGTTTTCCTTGATGTTGCTTTCTTCCAGATTTTGCAGAATAAGGTTCCTTTTCATTTTCATAGTATCACACAACTGAAGCCACAGTTTTGTTTGGTTCTTTATAACTTTCTTTCCTTTCAACAGGAGGATTCCCGCAGATATGCAGGAAAACAAATACATCCTTTTTTTCAATCCTTGAAAATGGGTAAGAAGAGCCAAGAAGTGGTTGATGTGGAGAGTAACTGGTATTCTTCTGAGGGAGAGGGAAAAAGCCTTACTTTCAGCCCTATTCATGTATTTGAAATAGTTACGGTATGATGTTCTTCATTCTCAATTGTACATTGTATTAACATGGCTGTCTCTTAAACTACTCTTCTAATAGTTTTGTCCAGTTCTCTTGCTTGGATGATATATAAGACTTCCCTTTGCAGGAGGATGAAACTGCCTTTGATTGGGGTCACTGGATCTTTTCTGAAGCTTGTTTTCTCGATGCTGATGTTGTGCTAGAATGTGGAAGCTCTCCACTCTCTGAAGGTTCCACCACCTCTCTACAATTTGATAGCTTTTCTTGCATCTCTGATCCGAAGAGAACATTGTCACAACTAAACAAGATGGCACTGAATCAACATGCTATTCCACAAGATGAAGTGGTCTCTGATCATTCGTCTAGAGAAACAAAATTATATCATCCAGCATTATCTGTAGTTGCTGAGGAACAAATCAGCCACTCTGAGCAGCTAAAGAATGTGGGAGTGGTACGCTCTGACATGGCCTTATTTTGAAATTTTACTGTTCGATGCTCATATTGATTATGACCCCAAGTTTTGAAAATATATCTCTTTATAGTGAGCATTATAACTTTGAGTTGGCAATTATTTATAAGTGGGTATGTTGGTTTGACTTATTGTGTCATGCTACAATCCTGCTTTTAGAGATACGTAAAAAGTAAAAGGCTTTACGTTCTAGTCAATAAGTGAGCGTATGTTTCCTATCTTTTTTGTCTGATCATCAGATAATACCTTTGTGGTTTGGATAATTGTAGGCAAATGTAGTGGACTCCCTCCAAAATAACCTTAGCAGTTCAGATACCAAGAAGCAAGGTCAATTTCTTCAAGAAAGGTGAGGATGTTTATGATATTGATGGAGCAAACAGTTGTGAAGCTTGTTAAAATTATGCTCCTGTCTGATGACTTTTGGTTTTCCAACTTGTTTTGTTACATGCAATATCACGCCTCTACTTTTCTCAAGTTATTATAATAAGATTCTTCTGGGGCACAGATAGTTTACTGTTTCAACTTCCATATTATTAAGACAAGACATCTCTAACTTTTTTGGACTTGCACCGTTTTGTCTGAAGTGACAAGATGGTTGAGGGGGGTAAGTAGTGTAAATGAAAGCCATTCTTTTTTTGTTTGATAATTGATATAATTTAAGTTGATAGATAGTATCCAGGAGGTACACATACCGAGTATGTACTAAAAGCTGGACTTAGCTCCTACTATATGCTAAGGAGACTATCAAGTGCAGAACATTCCCCATCTCATTTACAATGTTATCCCTTGCTCCAAAGGTATAAATTATCAAGGCATCTGTGTGTGTGTATATATATATATATATAAATATGTACTTTCCTCCCGTCAAGATGCATAATATTGTTGCATCCAAGGGTTCTAACTTACACCTGGCGAGCACTTTCTTAGTGCCTTGTTGTTTATTTCAATAATATACCTACCAGTTCAAAATACAAAATGTTGCATCCAAGGGTGTGTCCTAGTGGTCTATGAAGTGGTTGAAAATTTTGGACATCATAGTTCAAATACCAGCAGAGACAAAATATTAGGTGTTTTCTTCCCATATGTCTAGGCCTTGGTACGCAGAGTAACCCGGTACCTTTTCTGGTGAGAAGTAACAGATACCTAGCTGAATAATCAAGGTACATACAAGCTGGCCCCGACACCACTGATATTAAAAGAAAAAAAGACCTCAGATTGCTTTCTAACCATATTGTCCAAATTATGCACAAAAGCATACTGCTGCAAGTTTGTTTCTTCTTCCCCAATTCCTCTTCTTGCCAGCTTTGGGAGTTCACTTTGAATCTCCTAGCATTACCCATTCAAAAATACTCAAAAACACCTCCTGCGTTTTGACTCTGATGCCCACCTTCCGTTTTTCCTCAACAATTGTGGACCATCTCATGAAACATGTTCTCTTTCCTTCCCACAAGTCACTTCTTATTTTCTTCAACTTCAGAAGGGATGGATAACAAAAAACATCAGGTAGGTGGATGTCGGCATTCGCCAAAAATATATACTGCTTTTGGTCAGATTCATTTTGCCTTCAAGTGCTGCTTTTGGTCAGATTTAGGCTAGTAGTTTCACCTTTGAATGTAGCAATTGTTCCTCAACACTTTCATATAGTACTTAGGTATCATCAACATATAATAGGCGTGAAATTTCAGTATCATTCCCCTCTTTGTTTCCAGTTTGAATCCTTTAATCCATCCCAGTTTTGATGTCCTTAAAATTAGACTGAAAACTTCCATCACTAGCAAAAATAGGAAGGGAGAAAGGGATCTATTTCAATCTTGTTTGAGGACTAAAAACCCTTCTAGAGAGCCATTTAATATTATTGAAAATTTTGCATTGGGGAAAACAGTGAGATACATCAAACAATACATAGTGAGAAAGTGATTGACTAACAAACTGCAGTTGTGACTGTTATTCACGGATATGGGATAGGAACCCAATATAAAGAATGAGAAGAGAACCATACATGATGCTGATGGAGCTGAACCTGCCTACCTTTTTGGTCTCCTTGGCAATTACTTTCGCACGGCATATGCTATAGTAACTTCGATCCGTCCTTTTACTCCTTGACAAAAACTCTGGGAGTTGATAAAATGAACTTTTTATATTGCAGTGCTGGTATGCGGTGTGTAGTCCAGGTTGTTTCCATCACATTCTGAAATTGTACATGGGTGCACATCATAGTTCTTTCCCTGAATACAGGATAAAAGAAACTTTTTGGTTGTTGATTTGAAATATATGTTGCTTCTTGCCTGCTGTCTGAATTTTCCGTTATCACTATGGGTGCTGCTTTTTTATGTAATGCTGATTTACTCCGAACTATTTTTTCATGTTTAGGATAGTGTTTGACTATCAGAACTGTCCCAGTCAGCCTAAAAGTTGTCTGTGGACTAACAAATATCAGCCGGAGAGAGCTTTTCAGGTGAATATCTCATTTTGGATACCAGGACTGTCAATATTATTGTGAAGACACGTCTTAAAAGAGGGCTATTCATTCATATGTTGACATTTTCCATATGCAGTAAGATAAATGTTCTCCAACATTTTGTATGCAGGTGTGTGGTAATAGCAAGCCAGTGAAACTTTTAAGTGATTGGCTGCATCTTTGGCATGAAAAAGCTTCTCGCACAAGCAAGTCAAGCATTCAGAGTGATTGTGATACTCTTCAAGACTTCTCCGACAGCCTTTATGAAAGTGAAGCTGACTCTTCAAATGAAGAGCGGCTGAAGAATGTCCTGCTGGTATCTGGACCAGTTGGGGTATGTAGCTTGTTTCTACTCTTCTACAAGTTTTATTTTTTATTTTAAAAAAAAAAAATTGGTGATGGGGTAGGGTGGGTGAATTTTTTTTGGATGTCATTTTTATAAAAGAATTGGGGGGGGTGGAGGCGTGGGGGGGGGAGGGGGAGGATGGAGGTACGGGGGA